TAGATCTAATCTAGATTAGAATAGACTTCAATAGAAATCATAAATCTTATCTGATATGATGATATGGCATCATATGGACACGGCAAGCCAATCTAAACGACCAAGACGCTAACAAGAAAGTGGATTTAGGCTTTCCATATTTTCTAACTAGTCAATACCGTTACGGCAATACATGCAGGCCTTTTAGATCCCCTCTCCCCAAAATGTCCCCCTCACCTTCAGTGAAGAACAACCAAGTTCAAAACCAAACGATCGTTGCTGAAACATTCTTTCATCTTTTTGAAGCCCTCACTACTGAACAGTTGCCATTCTGAAATGCACCGAAGTTGGACACAAAGGCAAAGAGAGTCCAATTGCGCACCAGCTTTGCAATATCACTTTTGAAATAGAAATTCATTACAACGCTTTTATATAGGACGAAACTGAACTAGAAGGACAGTATTGGCGTGCACTAGCAATTTTTGTTTTATTAGAGATGATCCACATTTTTGTTTGTTTTTATCTTTTCTGCTCTTTTTTTTTTCTTTCTTATCTTTGGCTTTAGAGAGCTCTTAAACTATCAACCGGTTTCGCATGAGATTTCGTACACAGGTACCTCTTCGTGCCTTTACCTCTTAGGCTTTTAGGTTCTTGCTAAGACACACACACGGTAATCACAAAAACCCACAAGCTTACTTCAAACCTTTGAATTTTTATTTTCGGTATTATCATGATAAGAAGGGTATTACAAAAAAGGGGGTTGCAGGCTAAAGAGGGAGAGAGAAGACTATATGGGCGAGCATTACAATGCCCAGGGTAAAAAAAAATGGGGTGGGGGGGGGGTCCAGAGAGAGGGGGGGGGGGGAGGACAGAGGAAGAGATAAGGAGAGAAAAATAAAGAGAGAAAAAGCGTACTGATCCTCTACAAGTTTTAAGTCAAATTGGGAGAGCATTACGATGCAATATAAAGCCTGGGAGCAAATCAACGGACGTAGCCGCTTTGGAATGCTAGTTCTAGTTCATGTGTGTGTGTGTGAGGAGAGAGAGAGAGAGAGAGAAAAGGGGGGGGGGGGCAAATGGGAGAGAAAGAGCGATAGCATAAGAGATCGTTAGGAGATATAGAGAATAGAAGAAGGCTTCTTCGAAAAGAGAACTTAAATTGTCTCCATGACAACAATAGTTTTGTCTGCTTCGGGTATGGCATCATATGTAGGTCACAGCAGGGTCTACACAATTCCTTTATTTTTGTACTCGAAGAAAAGCCTAATTATTAGGTGTAAAGACGTTTCAAAGTTCACATTTGTTAGTGAGACAACTGGAGAGCTCTACAAAGGCCGCGGAACAGACATTTGGGACTCAAGGAAAAGCCCTCGTAGAAGACAGGCGTAGAAGACGTTAAGAGAACTGAAATAGGCCCCCGGCGGATAACGGCTTTGTCTGCATCATGGGTGGAAAAATATGCAACTGGGTTTGCGTAGTCATGTGAAACATTGCACTTATCCTTAATCGTCGGAATTGAAGATACTGCCATTATTATTATTAAAGTTTAATAGCGATGTTTATAATAGCCTGTTCCAGAATTCCCTTTTGTTTGTATGTGTCTATATCAGCCTATTACAAAGGTCACCATTGTTTGTATGCGTTTATATCAGTCTGTAAAAGCGTTCACTTTTGTTTGTCTGTGTTTACTTAATAAATGGAGTTCCTAATATGTCTTCCATCTTAAACACTAGTTTGTTATTTGTGTAACACGAATATTCTACAAGCTTGTTACAAAGCTGAATATTGTTTGTATGAGTTTATATCAGCCTGTTAGAGAGCTCACTATTGTTTGTATGTGTTTATATCAACCTGTTACAAAGCTCACTATTGTTTGTATGTGTTGATCTGCACTTAGCGCACAACATAAATGACGATAGCGTAGGTTGAACTGAAGGGAAGTGTAACGCCCCTTCGCATCACCACCTTAACCACTTCTCCTTCGCCTATTCATGTGAAATCAAAGATGGCCAGCCCTTAACCATAGAGTTCAATATACCCCCCCCCCCTTTTTTTTTCCCTGCTCTCCCTGACATATTATTGATGGTGATTTAATTGATTACGGATGCAGATATCTAAAAGAAAGGATAGCGGAGGACAAAAAAGGAGAGGGGGGGGGGGGGGCGGCAAATAAACGCATATCGATGAGTGCCAATGAACCTCGTTGTGGCGTTATCGAAAGTTTTCGATAGATTGAGCCAAAGGTGTACTAGATAACGTTTAGTCACTTTCTTTCTATTTTGTTTTTAAATCATGAATCTCATTCGTATTGAAGGATGGCTACCTAGTCGTGTGGTATGCGCTCCGAACTGTTGTTAATATGGTTCCAGTTTAGTTTCGAATCCTGCCAGCTTCAATATGAGGCATTTCCGGAGAAAACGTTTGAGAACCAACACAAACACATGCTATTATCGGGTCAAAATAATAATTTGATGAAATTAATTTAAGGGCAAACGTTAGCCATATCCTCCTTCCATCCCCCAAATCATTCTTCGGTTACTATCGAAATGATGTTTAAAATAATGCCTCATTTAAAAAATAAATAATGAGTTAAATATTGCTGTGCATAAAAAGAAGTTGAGCTTCATAACAAGAAATGTAATATATAGGAATGAATAGCCACTGTTAGATAAGTTGACAAAAAATGTGCGCCTCTTATTATTAGGCCTATATTTTTAAAGCATTCAAGCTACATAAAATAAGAATAATGTCCATTTTAATCGTTCCGACTATAAACAATGCCCCGGCTTTCATATCAATCTTATTTATTAACTATATTGGCAGCACTTCTTTAAAAAAAAAAAAAAAAAAATCTCCACCGGAAATGCATTTGTCAAAACAAAACAAATCTAAACTCTGAATACAAATTAATTCACAAAGTTTAGTGCTGTCGAGAATCTAGATCAAGATCTAGTCCAGATTTCATCTAGTTCTAGATCTAGCTAGGTGCCTTTTGATTTATTACTTTAAGAAGAAAGCAGTAGATCCATATCATTCATAGATCTAATTTCTGTGTTTAAGTGGACAAGCAATGTAGGTTTATTTTCTAGATTAGATCTTTGTACGGTGATAACATTGCACGATTACGTCATCAAACTCTGTTGTATTGCGTGCCAAGAAACAAGAAAAAATACTTTGCATCAATGTGCACTAAAAAAGAATGTTAGAGTTGATATTTTGAAAGGCCGCACAAATACGTCAGCAAACTAGTTTAAACGTCACAGTTGCCCCGTGTATCTTCAGCTGTAAACATCTCCCTCCATCCGCCTCTTCAAGTAAACAAGATTTGCATCTTCACTGCCGATATTCATCTTAATAGAATGGAACCATTTGGCAATCACAACCGCCTGGCCATCGGAGGTGCTGAACGCTCTGTGCAGAAAGGTAGTGAACAGAAGAACGATTATTTCGTTGATTGTTTGAACGTGTCCTGCAACAGCAACGACTGTTCCAGCTACTTCGATATTCCAGACTGTGTCACTGACGTCTATCTCCAGGCTTTAGACGGAGGTGATGATAGTTTTGCCGCACTGAGGCAAATCAGCGAAACCTACGGCGATAAAGATAAGAAAGAATACGACAGAAATTGCAACATGAACAACGAACCACTGCCCAACCAAGGCTGCGGCTGTACAGGCAGTTACAACGGAGGTGCTGGCGGTGGCACCGCTGTCTGTGACTGTGATGGTAAGCCATATGAGTGTGGCTTCCGTGACAAGAAACGCGACAACGCTTGCTGCGGTTACCCCAACGATAAGTACAGACCTGAGGATGTCAACGTGATTCCCACCTGCACTCAGGCGTTTAACAAGAACTGTACATGTGGCGCCTCGCAGGGAGAATGCAAGTGCCAGGAGACATACCAACAAGGCCTGGTCAACAAGAAACCAGAGTGCTGTGTGGATTACAAGTACGTTGCTCCATTCAACCCTAAGCCGTTTGTCTGTGACAACAGCGAACCATCTGGCTGTCAAGAGCTTGTCAGAAAGGGCAAGCTTCCCGACCGATCCAATTTCTACGCCGATGATTGCTGCGACTGCCAGCACAACAACAACAACAACAACAACCTCAACGTTCTCGGCGAAACCGATTGGGCCGCGCTCAGAAAGTCTGCCTACAGCATCTCCGACAATCAGTGCTCCACATACGGCAGTAACAGAGTCCAGCAGTCAGATCACTCCATGTATAGGGCAACTTCCGGCAAACTCAACGGAATTGAGCGCCAGGACATTGTTTCCTTAGTCGGACGCTCAAGGTCACAGGGCAAGTCTGAAGAGGAAGAAGCAGCACAGGCAACTCTCCAGCATTGCAGCATCTGCTAAAATTAAGGTAAAGAACATCGTTTTCATATCTAGACCCATGAATTACTTCAACCATCGCACTTATTTTGTTTTCGCATCGATAGTTCTGAACCTTTAAACTTTGACCTCTACTCAGCCATTCATTTCTAATGACCTTGGCATGAACTCTTCAGTTAGCTTCAGTAACCACCCAAGGCTGACAGGACTGAACCGTCTGAAACATCGTGTATCTGGACAAACTGTTTAAAAACACCCAAAAGCTACCTAGATCGAACTATGAACTTTACTGTGATGGCCTGGAAGTGATAATAGTTTTCTTATCAGAATAGATTATCATCGAAAAAAAAAATTAAAACCATTGAGCAGTTGATCAAGTTACACGGGGTAAATAAAAACATCTGTACCATCGTCTTTGTTGCTCTATGATTTTAGTGTTTCTTGACTTCTGTGTTGTCTTGTGTGTATTTTAAATCTGTTTTAGCTTTGTTAAAATAGTAATGTCATAAATTATGATAAATCAACACTATCTAATTCACTAGCACTTTAATTTAATACACAAATAATTTCAAACATAAATTTTAAATTTAAAACTAGATTAATCTAGAACTTTACATTAAAACTATAATCCAAAAAAAAAAAAAAAATACATACTAAATTACAAATAAAAATAATAAAGTACAAACTTAATGTAACTATGTAACTTGAATTAAACTTTTTAAAAATAGTCTTGATCTAAAAATTTTGATCTAATAGTTAATGGCTTAATTACTTTCAATAGGCATGCTGGTGAATGTAAAGGTCTATTGTAATGAAATCTTCATCAATCAGGATGATTTACTTTTTAGTCACCTTAAACACACTAATCTAAATAAATGAAAAAAAAGACTGAAGTCTGGAAAAATGTATTCAATATTTTATGAGTTAAAAATGCAACTTTTTTGTAATTTGCAACATACTTTTCAACAACAAAAAAAATTATTAAAATTATATTAGACAAAAAATTAACAAAAATTTCCAAATTACCTTTATAAATTGGTATCAAGTGTAGCTCTTCAAAGTAGGTTAGGTGCATTTATTATACAGTGTAATTTACAAAAATCCATGCAAATAAACAAAAACAATCTTATCAAAGTAATGGCATTCATCACAAATAAAATCTTTTTTATAAAAATTTAAAACTTTCATTCAAGAGGATCAACTCTTAAGAATCTCTTGTCAAGAAGCTGTGCTAATCTCATTCTCATGATCCGCCATCAGTAAAAGCCACCCTGACTTCCTGATCTGATCTCAGGCCTCCAATGCCTCCTACAATAAATAAAACATGAACAGCACTTAAAAAACACGATTACAAAGTAGCAAAACAATTTTTTACCACTTTTTAAAAGACCTGATGCCATCATTTCTACACTAAAAAGTAATTGCTTGTCTTGAGTCTGAAGATTGTAATGGCTAGTTAGAGTAGGATCTTAAACACATCAATGAATAACTAAACTACAGACTTCCAAGACTTTTATAAGCTAATTTATTGTTAATTTACTTACAATCAAATAGGCAGCTACTTAGAATTTAGAATGAGTAAAAGGATTCATTTATGACAAAATGTCTTAATCAATTATGGGTGATAGGCCATTTAGTACCAGTGCCAAGCAATTTTGAAAAATAAAGAAATGCATTCTTAATTTTGTATTGTTTAGTAGAAGCAATCTCAGCCCTGAGTGTATCATAAAAATGTAGAATAAAACTTACAGCAGTGGCTAGTACTTTAATGGTAATCTGAAGATTCAAATGACAAGAGACTTAATGACATTTGTCTCAATTATCAATATTATGACATCTCACAATCAGGATTCACACCAATTTAAAGACTCAGAATCCTTTCTTTGTCTACAAATATCAATCACAACACTCATATGCAATAAGAAGTCTAGAATACAATTTTCTGAAGAATTGTGGCCAAGCTTTGCAGCAATCAAACAACTCTAGGACACAAAAAAACATAGATTGCAAGGTCTGAAATGGGAAACTTAAATAACTAGGTAAAAAAAAAGTGCTATGACTGTTACATAAGGCACATAAAGTAGTTTTACAAATCCTGGCACATTGCACATCCTAGACAACCCCAAGTGCAATAAAGATACATTTGTGAGCCCATGTGCACCAAGACAAATAGTTTAAAGTGATACTATGTAATTTATTTGACCAAGACCAACAACATCTAGCAGTTCAAAAAGTTGAATGGGAGAAAGGATCAACAAAGGTCAAATGGGAAAGAAATTGCTAGGCAAATGTCAAGCATGGAAGAAATAAAAGAAAAAGATATGCAATATTCAAAGTAATATATATATAAATTAAGAGTACATCACAAAATTTTACCAACAAAATATAAAAGGTTTGTAAATTCTAATAGAAAAAATATGTATATTATAATGTAGAGCCTCACACTGCCATTTTTTCTCCACTGTCCTTTCACAACAGGCTCAACAATTTGAGCATAAATCTGTGTTGTAACTTGCGTATTTATTATTTATTTTTTTTACAATTGTATTTCCTAAGAAGAAAAAATGTCTGAAAAGGGCTAAGAGTAAAAAAAGAAAATAAGACATTTTTTGTATGGGTGCATGGACGGTAACAGACAGGAAGATGTAACATTTTTGTAATTGGCAACATGTATTTCAAATACAACAAAAGATAACTAAAGACCAACAAAAAAGAAATGTAAATATTTTATAAAATTCACTGTATAACAGCCTACAACACAGAAGTCAACTAATCAAAGACTTTTCTCAACTATTGAAGTGTCCAAGCTCCTACTACTGTAAAGATAACATTATCACCTCACACATTCTTTTATAGTGAAATGAAAGGCATCTTCATGGTGGATTGCATTTGACTGAGGGCTCTTTGAAGAGCTAGTACATAGGCACTGCCCTGTCTATCAGGATATCAGACAAATTTATTGTAATGTTGCTAGCCTGCAGATATTGTTTTATAGTGTAGCCATGGACATCTAGTACTGTTGGTGAGATAGGTCTATAATCAAAAATATGATACAGAACTGAAATCAATTTTAACATTTTATCTTTTATAATTTTTTTTAGTATTAGCTGTATTTTTTAATTTCTGATTTTAAATGCTTTGAGAATAGGTAGAATAGAATATAGTTTTAAAAAAGTAAATGGGATCGTGTACACTGGTCAAAGGATAAGTTTACATTTTTTTTTAAATGCTACGCAAAAAAAAACTTGTCATGAGCTCTTGAATTAATGATGAATTATTTAAGCCAAACTTGACAAACATAATTTATATTCATAAAATATAATTCCAATGTATATACTTTGAATAACTTTTTAAAACAAACTAATAAATCTAAACGTTGAAACAGGAGATCACATGACAATTTCTCTAGTTAATAAACATTGTGACAAAAGGGTTACATTTTTCTTTGTAACAGTTTCCCCTTATTCGTTGTCCAGGTTAATGGTCTACTAAAAAAATGTATTACGCAATAAATGAAATAAAGGAAAGTACATGTGATTAAACATCTAAGCACCATACAGCTTACAAAAGCAGTTAGTGCCAACAACGTTGAATGATTCATATAAACAGTTCCATAGCAAGAAGAAGCTGTTCTCCCAAAGGTTTCTCTTAATAAACCATGAAGCATACAGTCAAATGTAACTGAAGTCAAAGTAAACAATATTCTAGTAGAAATAGTGTGAAACATTCAAATACTAGTCAGCAATAAACTTGCACTGCTTCATTGAGCAATTTGTATAATACTGAGCTAATAAATTTATAGCTTTAATATAGTGCTACTTTCATGCTTATAGCATGCTCAGAGCCCAATGGACCAGTTGGGAGGGGGGGGGGGGTATCTGGGAGAAGGTTTTCAGAGCTGCCTTTAGGCTTTCAATAAACACAACTTTGCCTGAGTTAGGTGTTGAACCTCAAGCCCCCTCCATAGGCAGCCAAGCCAAGCCAAGTTCAAGCGTACTTAACCTCTCCACCACGCTTCCCACGTTAATACAGAGAATAAAAACAACTAGTTATATAAACTTCAGTTAAGACTAGTTGTCTTCCCTTCCCTCCTTTTTCCCCTTAAAATAATAGCATTTGAAGCAAATCTTGTATTTCTTCCATCAGTTATATGACGAAAACACAGAATAGTTGCACATTAAATAACTAGCAAATGCTACAACATTTTTAATGCTGTGTGGAAAGCAGCAACTACTGCAAAGATTCATGCTATAAATAGTCTTCACATTCAAAGAGCTTATGATAAACTTAGAAGTTGTGAAAAAATTTCAGTCTAAAAAATCTATTGCGCTACTTTAGAGAACTGATTGTATCTCAACATTTCTAAAGTGAATGTGAAATTGAGAAAGGTTTCATTGATTAGATAATAATTATATTTTTTTTAAAACAATATGATGTTTTATTATATCTAAAAAACATCTTTTCAACAATTTTAGATAAGAAAATACATGAGTTGGATACAACATGACCTAAATAAAAAAGATGTGACAAATTTTATTGATAACAAACAGTTAATGTTAAAATTTAACAGATGCTAAAATATTCCAGCATTAGAATTCCTTAGAAAAAACATAATGGATTCCCTTTCACATTATTTTGAATCCAGCTTATATAGTAATTAATGCAAATAAATACTACACATATAACACACTCCCGGATCTTAAAATGTGTACTAGGCTAAGGAGTGAAAACCTAACACAACTGTATGAGAATTTAGGAGACTATCTTTGCAATGACATCATTTGGGTTAAAAGCAGTAGGACACTTACACAAATTCTGACAGTAAAAAAAATAATAGGACAGAGTGATGGCACAGTCTACAGTGTTCAATATAGAATACATGAAAACATTGAACAATTACACTATTAAATAAAGCTCACTTGGCACATCCTCATCAGCTAAATAATTCACATCAGATCCATCGGTAAACACGGCATCATCCTCACTATCTTCTAAATGACCTGGTTGGAAAAGGTCAGAGGGGAAATATGGAGATCAGAGCAAACCAAAACAAAAAAATATCTAAAGGTCAAACAGGATATGAGAAACAGGGAAGGATATGAGAAACAGGGAAGGATATGAGAAACAGGGAAGGATATGAGAAAGCATGCTGAAACTAAAAAATTTATTGCCAATTTTCTTTTTTTGTAAGGTCACCTTAACCAGTTTAAAGAAATACAGAGTATTGTCTTCAATACTTATAGTTATCTCGTTTTTTTTTTGAGGGAACACACAATCTCAACATGAGAATTATTAAATTACTATTCTGTCTCCAAGAGTTCATTCTAACTCATTTTATTTTATGAGCCTGAAATGAATTCTGTTTCAATGCCTATAGTTATGTAACAAAAATTTGTAATAAATAAATAAATAAAATATTTAGGTACTAATTTACTTATAGAAGCAAATAATTTGTAAATTAGAGCAACACGTTGAGTTAAAAAAATAAATAAATAAAGGTCAAAGAAATAAGCCAAAGTTTACCATGTGAAATTTTCTCAGCTTTCTTTTTATCCTGTTCAACGTAAATGGCAGTAGCTAAATAGAATGCACCCCCCACTACACAAACAAAAGTTGTCAGATATAATGCTGTTTGCATAGATACAAACTGTACAGAGGGCAGTTTGGGATTTGAATGGTTGTCAGCCAAAGAATCAGCTATCTAAAAATGTATACAGAATAAATGCTGTCAATAAAAATATTCTTAAATCTAAATTTGATCTTATAAACTACCAAAAAAAAAAAAAGCATCTGATGATATTTTATTAGTTTATTTTTAAGAATAGTAATCCTGCACAACAAAATAATACAGACAGATGTAAGCTGAATAATAACAAATATGATAAAAGAAACTTAAAGATTCAATCTTTTGCTATATATTATAAACTTGGAATATAGCAGTAATTTGAGAGTATCAGAAGACATGCGTTCTGAGTATGCTACTGTATGACAGTAATTTTTGGACTACCAATGCAAAGCAAGAAAGAAAACTAAACTCATTTCACTTGCGCTGCCTCCAAAGGATTTTGAATATCACATGGCAAGAGAGAGTGTACAATACTGAGATCCTTGCACACTGGGGCCTTCACAGCATCTTTACATTCCTCAGATAACGCCAGCTGTGCTGGCTTGGTCATGTTCGCTTGATGGAGGACAATCGCATTCTGAAAGTCATTCTCTTCGAGAATCTCTTGTCTGGCTCAAGAAAAACTTGTTGCACCTCCTCCGTTACATGGATGTAATAAAACAGGACCTAAAAACAGTGAACATTGATACAGACCATTGAGAAGAGATAGCCCTAGACCACACTAGTTGGAGAGGGTGACCAAGAAAGCTATGTATGGTGAAAAACCAAGGGCCTCAGCTCTGGAAGAAAAGCATGGCAAA